GAAAACAAGGGGTACCTTATCTTGGGATCCTTACAAAAAGGTTCCTACCATTTAGGGTACGGAATTAGGGTCCCCTATTTTCGGAAACTCCCATATACGTAATATAGATATATAGGTGTATATATATACATATATATATATATACTCGTATCATCTGTATATACTGTAGAGATGTAGATATGTATATGCAAGCAAGATATGTATGTATATGTATGTATATATATATATATATGTATGTATATGCGTGTGTAATATAGAAGATAGATGTCTCCATAGCTAGTAAATATCTTGCAGCTTCGTATACGGCTTATACCAATACTACCCCTGGATCCTACCCCAAACCTAAGCGAGGCAAATTCTTATGACCAGGATGTTTGAGTGGAAGCAACACGAACTCAACTTAGAAGGCTCTATCATGTAGGGACTTTGTTTGCTGTCATGAATCCTTTGTGAATTCGGTTTCACGTCATCAGCCGACCTAAGACCAGATGCCTCGCCTGGATTGTCCGAGTCTGAGCTTCGAAACCAATACGAAAGCCTTGGCCCTTAACGGAGAGGCATTCCTCGAGATTCGCTTGGGCGCCTTGGCTTTGAGGGAAAAGCCGCAGAGAGAGCTGTAACTATGGCAGCCGACCCCTATAAAAGCCCGAGCCCGAGCAAGCTAAAAGCCGGAACCTCAAAAGGCATAAAGCCACAAAAGCCTAAAGCCCTAAAGGCCATCAGTTGGAGGCGAGCTGCGCCGTTTAGGACACATCAAGCTGGGCGGAAGCCATCGGTTTCAAAAGTTGCCATCTGGTCCGTGGTTTCGAGGAGCTTTCTGCTTTAAGGTTTATGGTTTAATGCTTAAGGGGGGGCTGTTTGGCTTTGAGGTTTGAGGGTGTCGATCTTCGGCTTAAGAGGGCTTGCCCTCAAGTTCTCAAGGGTTGGGAGAGCTTCAAACCCCAAACCCTAAACGCTTGAAACTGCTGGATGCGCAGGAGATCCTCAAGCCCCGAAACTCTACAGGGGTACTTCTCTAAGATCGGGTCCCTTAAGTTAGGTCCCCAAAATAGTACGGCACCCCTTATAAAAAGTACGCTAACAGGGACCCTAATCTAGAGAACTACCCACATCCATGAACACAACTGCACCGCCATGCACAGAACAGTTGTTGGTCCTGAGTCCGGGGTTCAGGACCCGACTTTCCTTGAACCTGTACTCGGAAACCATGATATCAGGTCTGGGATACTGTTCCACCCCAAATGATCCAGGAATTCCCCAGAGAGCCCAATACCCTTTAATTAAGGAATATGCCTCAAACCACAATATAAAGGCCCCTATAATTTAAGGTATATTCCTTAATTAAGGGGTACTGGGCTCTCTGACCCTAAACCCTAAACCCACGGTTAGGGTTTAGGGTTTAGGGTCCCGCTCCTAAAAGGTGAGGCCTTCGACCTCATGCGCGACTTTCCCGAGTCCGCGCCGGCTCTGCTCGACCTGAGGTCGGCTCGCTGCTTCCCAGACAACCGGGGGGATCCAAAAAATAGGGTTTAGGGTTTGGGTTTAGGGTCAAGGGTTTAGGATCCAAATAATAGATCCCTCAAAGGGGTTCCTATAAAGTACCCTTTAGTAGTTAGGGCCCCAAATTAGGGGATCTACTTTTTGGATCCTCCCGCTGGTCTGGGTTGTGCTCCGAGTCACGGATAAGACTGTTGGCGAAGCCTGATAAGACACGGTGCATGTGCGCGCTGGTATGTCTGTATAGCAATACTTCTCGTGCGTTATACTTACATATCCGTATGTGTATTATGCATGTGCGCATGCATGCATGCATTCATGTCACGTAGTGTTGCGTGGGGTAGTGTATCGCGCTGTAGAGCAGTGTAACGTAGTGTGGTGTTGTCTAGTCTTTACTGTCATGTAATGTAGCGTGATGTAAGGTCATTGTAATGTGATGTATCTACGGATTGCATACGTATCTATCGATGTACTTATCTATCTGTCTATCTACTTGTCTTTCTATCTATCCATCCATCTATCTGTGCATGCATGCATGTATGCATCTGTTTATGTATGCATGTATACGTATGCATACATGCATCTGCGTATGTATGTATGTATGTATGTATGTATGTATGTATGTATATGTATGTATGTATGTATGTGTGTATGTATGTATGTATGTATGTATGTATGTATGTATGTGTACGTAAGTTATGTTTCATGTCGTTTGCTGTTTTGTTTGTAAAAACTTGTATGACCAAATCTGGGGTGGGTGCCCATGTCTCAACAGATTTTTCGTAAATTCATAGAGGACATGTATGGTCAGATAGGTGTGTACAGAAGTAACTACACTCATATTTGTACTCAATGGCTGTTGCAGGATGCTACAACTATCCTGATACTTGTGTAGCCTGATGCACCTCACCTGCGGTACTACTCTTGCTACTGTACGGCTTTCCAGAACTCCTGGACATGATGGTGGCTCTGATCCGTAATCCCCACACCCCACACTGAGTTGGGCAAAATGTGCTCGAAAGGCTTCGGGGTTGAGGGCAGGTGGTCGTAATCCGTGAGTTCAGGCTTTGGGGACGGGGCGGCTAGGCTGCAGAGGAATCTTGAGTATGGTTGAAGATGCACGAAGTCCCCAAGGGGAACACATGTGCGAGGCCGTCAAAAGGGAGAGCACCTTAGCCTACGCCAAAGTAACATTCCATCACAACAGGAGAACCGAGGCGTAACAATTGTCGTGGCGGCAAGCTGTTCTTCATAGCCATAAGCCACAGTGCCATACCCGTAATGCGAATACTGGTGCTGATCGGATGAGGGTGAAGATGGTGACGACGATCGTTGACTTGATATGATAATCGGGAGAAGTCGAAAACCCATACCAATCTTCCTCAGCTTGTGAATACTAACATTTCCATATCTCACACTGACGGAGAAGACCTTAATACTTAAACCCAAACCATAGAACCTTAAATCTAAAGCCCCACAGCCCCAAAAAGACCTTATAACCCTAAATGCCGTAAAGTCCAGTGGCAATTGCTGTCAGGCGGTGTCTCGCCCTAACGGGCCGAGCTGCGCCGTTGGTGCAGGCAGTAGTGCCCGCTCTGGGATTTAGGAGTTTACGACTTTGGAGTTGTCTTGCTCTACATTCTACATGACTGTGCAGAGTATTCGCTATCATCATACTTGGCATTATGTGAACATGAGGCCCAAAAACAAGCGGGCAGGCTTTGCGGGAGCAGATCTCCCGACGCCTCCTCATTGCGGGGGCACACACCCGTGCCTGAGCCGCATCCTTCATAGCTCGGAGCTTCCACCCCGAGTGCGACAACATGAGCATGAGGTGATGTCATCAAAGTCTACATCAAAACGATCAAGGCCTGCCATAACCGGGGAAGGGTCTGCATGCTTCCGATGGTGGTTTTGAGTCGCCCGCCTCTGACTTGTCTGGTAGTAGTTCATGATGTTTATAGAAGTTTTGGTCAGCAGTTGTCTTTTTAATTCGTGCCGACGCTATGCCTTCTTTGGGCGCATCCTCTTCGGTTCACAAACTCCCCAGAAAAGCCAACACAACACAAAAAAGTATTGGTGAACCGCGGATAAAGAACAAAGCTGGATAACAATTTGCTTACCTGTTATGGTTAAGCCCACATCAGAAGAACAAAACTGAATTATCCGGATCTTGCCACTCGGAGGCTTTGCGGCTGATCGACCCGAGGGGACTGCTTCTGGATGGCGTGTGCCGTACTCAGCAGTGTTTTTCCAGTGTTCCTGGAAAGGGGCGGGTGGTCAGTTAAGTTTTAGGGTTTGGTGTCCTGCAAAAGTCAGAGAATGGCTTTCCAACTTTGGTTTTACGTCGGCTTGAGCTGGAGCAGCTAAAGCTGCTTAAACGAATTCAGCAGTACAAAAATCGGTGCAAAGAACAGCAACGACGGCTCAGATAGAGCCATGTTGCAGCAGATGAATCCTTTCCCAGGTCGGCGCCCATCCGCGAGTATCTCAAGCGACGCAAAGACACCGTCCGTTGCATCATCACGGCCCGGGCCGCAGCGAAGGGTTGGTCACGCCGCAGGCAGGCATTTCTGGCACCACCCGCTGATGTAGTCCTACCCAGACTGGCATCACAGTGTAACAGCCGAATTTCAGGCAGCCGGCAGGCAGATTCAGGTTCGGGGCACATTGACGCTAGGGGCCTTGACACAGGCGTTTTGGTTTTGGCCCCCGAAGTTTCAAAGAATCGTGTCATCAGCCGAAAGGCCTTGACGGAGGACACGGACTCTTGGCTGGTATTGGCTTTCATTGCGGGCGCGGCATGGTACTGACGCGGAGCTGTAGACATCATGCGTCGATCTGCTGCCCGTGACTGTGATACGTATGAACATTGTGGCCCCTCTAATGCCGTCGAAGGCCTCCTTGACAATGGTTTTCAAAGCAGCTAAGGAGCTGCAACAGGACCGTGGGCACCGGCTATAGCGCTCGATTGAGCTGCAGGGTTAAGAGATTGGGGTCGAGGGTTTGAGAGCGCGGAGGGCGTAAATTAGCGCCCTAAACCCTAAACCCTAAACCCAGCGGCGGTCGTGAACAAGACTTCCGCTTAGCTTGGCGACGTGCGTCGTGTCAACCTTTCCAGCTCGAAGGCTCTCGGGGAGTGTCCTACAGGCTGAGACACAGGGTAGGGCTGTTCCTGTTAAGGAACTTAACCTTAAAAGTTCTGGGGTTTAGGGTTTAGGGTTAGGGGCCGACTTAAGGGTTCGACATATTTTCATGAGGGTTTGATCAAAACACTCACTCTGTCATTGCATCCCGGCTATGGCTCTCAAGCGGTTAGTTCCTTGAAGCCCCATAAACTCCAGGTCCTGTTTCTGATAACATAAACTCCTTGAAGCCCTAGAGAAACCTTTTAAGATCCGTGCAGCGGCAGAGCTTCGCTGAGACCTCATACAGACTCCATAGAGCCTTTGTTGTGGGAACTTATGTCACTTTGCTTGAGGCGTCCTAAATCCATATAAAAACTTAGCTATGGTAACTCAATATTCATTTCCTTCCAACCCAAAGCATCCTGTGAAAGAACTGTGTGTTAACTTACCTTGGCCTCCTTGAAGCAAGAGAATTGGACGGCTTTCATGAGAACAAAAGTCTCTGGAGCTTTTGTTATTATGGTAACTTACTCTAACTTTATTATGGTAACTTACTTCAACTTTCTTATGGTAACTTACTTTAACTGTGTTCTTTAATTATGGTAACTTACTATAGTTCTTTTGTGGTATCTTAGTGTTTAATGACTAAGAAGAGCGGAAGGAGCTCCAGCAGGGAGCGGAGGCCGGTCATCTCTGGGACACCTGGGAGCTTAGGAGACTGGTGGAAGGTTGGGCTTTGTAGGGGTTCAGGGGTTTAGGGAGTTTAGGGGTTTAGGGTTTAGAGGTGTAGGGTTTTGGGTTTACGGATTTAGGGTTTACGGATTTAGGGTTTAGGGTTGGCCGGGCGAGCTCCAATCAAGCCTGCGTAAAAAAAGGGGTTTATTGAGTGAAATCTCCGAGCCTCCGCAGGTGAAGCTGGAAAACCTGATGCTGCTGAGCACTTCGGGGCCCCCCCATCTGGTCTTGATCGATCTTGGTGTGGCGGAGACGCAGCCCGCCTTCAATTCTTATCTTGTCCCTAATACGATTATAATTACAGTTGCCCTACTTATAACTCCACTAATGACTACCCATGAACCTCCAAGTAGGCCCGACTGAAGGCCAGCAGTGCCTCACTCGGCAGCACTCGGCACATGCCATGAAAGCTGAGTCTCCAGCAGTCTCCTACCGGCACTGAGGTTTCAGTCCTCTGCAGGCGCCCCGTCTGCCAGATCTGAATCAAGGGATGTTGCAGGGCTTCAGCCGGCGATCATCTCATGGCCCATGTCAATGTGCCCGAAGGGAAAACTGTATTCTTGTGGCAATTTGGACTGCTGGATTCACTGATCCATATCGCAACATACATGGAGATGGCTATCATTCGCAAACCATTCCCTGCTTACTCTTTAGGACGGAGCCCATCAGGATGTCTGACAAGGTGTGTCGAGAGGCTACTTGGGCCCAGTCTGACCAACTTCGGAGTCGGAGGGCTCTTGGCTTTGGTGGGGCTTGGCACGTTTTCCCATCTTTTTCCCTGCTTTCCTTGTCATGTTTCATCAGAATCACAATGTCAGGGGATTCACGGCCGATGCCGGCTGGCACTCCGCAGACAATGGCTCCAGAGGTGCTGTGACGGCTTAGATGGGCAAAGTGTTGGGGCAAGTATTGTCATTCGCCTTATTGTGCATGTTGTTCCTGTCTCGAGGAGATCGACACAGATTGCAGGGGCATGCGCCATAAACTTTTGCAAACACTAACAAAGAATGACTTGATCCTACCCCCTCTAAACCCCCTCTAAACCCCCTTTTGCTTTCTTCGACAGTTGGAACTCGGCTTCAGAAGTTGCAATGCAGGTGATTGACTGCATGCTTGGGCGAAGAAGCAGATGCAGGGCTGCAGTAGTGCCTACAGTCTCCATTGTAGTTCCTTTTTTTGGGGTTACCTTATAGGATCCTTAATATGAAAATGGTTAAACCAAAAAAAGGAACTACAATGGAGACTATAAGTGTGGGTGGGTTTGGACTTGCACACGAAGTCTCCCGCAGAGACGAAGGCAGTGTTACTGTAAAAGGGCCAGTTGTCGTCGAACCGGCACCATCTGCTCAGGCTTCGATGACCGCTGCGATGTTTTCAGCTTGGGCATTGTTGCGCAACTTGGCCGGAAGCTGCAGGGGGCTTGGCCGCAACTCCCTGGTAGTCCATGCCCTGGGGTCAAGGTCTGTTGGATCAACGCCTTGGGCGACACACATTGAAGCAATTTGCTGTGCTTCTAATGCTGCAGTTCACTTCACTCCATCTCCGGACCAGAGACAGTTTGTTATCTGCACAGAGGCACAACACCCTGAGAAATTCGCCGAGGCACCAGCTCTTCACAGGTGATGTGCCCTACAAGGTCGCATACCGAGGTGCCCCGACGCAAAGTCTGTTCAACTCCATGGTTCGGCACGAGTTGTCGAGACAGCTCTTACAACATTCTTACAACCATCGGCGCTTCCTCAACTCTGCTTTTTGAACCCGGTGACCTGACTTCCCGTACCGACGTACCCACTGGCCGACAAGGTGGAGGATCTTACGGCCCGGTCGACTATGCTCAGACGCGCGCCAACATGAACTGCGATCTCACCGCCCAGCTGCATCTTGGCGAGAGCTTGGGGAAGATTATGTTGGATTCAAGCTCGGACTGCAACTGACACCGTGTGCCGACCACGGTGTCAGTTCATCTGTCGTAAATGAAGCCGGCACCAGCTTCGGCAGCTCAGGAAGTCGGCTGGCTGTTCCAGGGGAGTTATCACCCTCGTCAGCCGCATGCTGGAGCCACGGATGCTCTTGAGCTATGCCAGTCGGGTCAAGAGTAAACGCGCGGGGCGGGGGGGGTGCTTTCGGGTCTAAACGTCAACACTCGAAGCATTGGCGAGTCAGGTTATCCTGCAGGTGCCGGTTTCATGCTGAACAACGTGACTTATGAGTTTCGTTGTTTCGTGCAGGGCAGGCTAGGTTGCAGACGCCACGGGAGTTCGGAATTCTGTACTGTCTGTGGTCGGGAACTTGATTTTGTGCATTATCCTAAAAATCGAGCATCCGACTCCTGCTGCTGGACCGATCGATACTCCTGAACCGTTCTGGGCACGGGGTTTCAGCGCGCTAGCCTTCCTCTGCTATCACGTGGCGTAGCAGCAACAGGCAGCAACTCTGTGGCTTTAATGTGCTATTGATTGTGGCTGGCTAATTAATCACACATTTAAGTATTCCGTTTGTGTTTGGGTCTCCGTGATCATTTGCTCAGCGGATGTACGGCCGGGGCAAAGAACAACTGCCATTCCTGACATAGCATTTGTAATTCTTCGGGTTTGTGCCCTGTTACTGTTGTGTATCGTATTGAGCTGGTCTTTTCGTTCGTGTATACTTATGGCGACTGTAAACGGTGGTCATCTACCTTGTCGGAATATGATCTCATGCGAGCGCAAGCACTTCTGTGCTTCCTCCGCCGGCAGCCGCAGTCTGTACAAAAAATGAGTCTCATTAGGCCTTATAGATTTATGACATCTTATGGCAAGCATCGCACGAGAACTTGCCGGTATAGCGCGATCTCCCTCGCTAGCGACTCGCTCAGCGATGCAGGAGGCCACAAAATTGCCCAAAAAAGATATATATAGTCGAGAGAAACATAACACTGACTGATTGCACGAATTCTTTCTTGTCCGAAATCCTGCAGAGGAGATGGACCCTGCGAAGCGGCCATCCACCCTGGAATGCCTGAGTGACGGCTGGCTGGTGCTTCTGTGTGAGGATTTAGGGTGCCTGACAAATCATGCTCGTCCAGAGTTACGGGATGTCACGGGTACCAGCTACAGACTGCAGGCTTTCTTGCCGTTCCTTTCTGATCACCGTTCTTATTGTCTTAATCCATGGGGCCTTAATAGTTACCTATACTCTTTTGGGGCATCCTTAAAGTTATAACCATACTATAATATACCCCCAAAGCCCTGTTCTAATTGTTACCGTAAGGCCCCTATATTCGACTATTAGACTCTGGGAGTGCGGAGGTGCAGAAGTGCGAGAACCGCCGCCTCCGGCGCCTTCGGCTCGAGGGCCGGCACTCGCTTGGGGGCGCGGCGCTCTCCGTTGAGGAGGCGAAACTCGGAGGTTTCAGGTTTGGGGTTTTAGGGTTTAGGGTAGGGGTTTAGGGTTTTAGGGTTTAGGGTTTTGAGGTCCTGGATGAAAAAAAAAGGGTTTTGAGGTTAAGGGAGGGCTCCGAGAGTTGTTTACCTGCCCAAGTCTCCAGACAGGCGTGCAATTGTCATGCCTGCTCCCGAGCTGATAGCAAAGAGCCTGGGTTCAAAAAACAAAGGGAGGGCTCCGCGGTGAAGGCTCTGAGGTGTTTTTTAAGACTATGTAAAGGAGAACTTGTACTGTACTGCTTTCTGAACACGAGTCTTGGCATGCATGCACACAGGTTATATCCACACAGGCAACACAGAACCGAAGTACTGCAGCAAACAGTACACGTCCCTAGCAGGCCCTGGTGCGCATGTGGATGTGGGTCAGGTTCTTGCCATATCGAACCGCTTGCTTTGCCTTTCAACTATTATTTTTCTTGTTGTCGAGTTTATCAGTGCCAAGTAGGAGCCTCGCCTGCTTTGTCGAGAGTGAGTGCTAAAAATCAGTGCCAAGTATGATCATTAATGCACATGGTTATGATCTATGCTTTTATGGTTATGATTATTAGCCCATTCCCTGTCCGAAGTGGCGTCCAAGCGCCAGGAGGAGGCAGCCGGTGAGGAGCTCCTGAGACTGGAAAGGCACAGAAGCCTCTGAGAGAAGCTTGTCAAACGTAACAGTCCCTAGGGCTCCAGTTACCTAAATAGTAGGTTACTGGGGTACATAATATAGGGTTAGTAACCTACTATTTAGGTAACTGGAGCCCTTGGGAGTGTGAAGAGAAGCTGGGGAGAGCGTACTTTTCTCGGCAAAGGCAGCTGGCAAAGGCCAGATGAGCTCGAGGAGGATGCTCTTGAGCTTAGTCTCATGTAAGTTCGGGCCTTCTAGGGGGAAGGACTTTCCTGGGGTTTATAGCCCCTACGCCCTAACCCCTAAACCTTAAACCCTAAACCCAGTGCCCTAAACCCTAA